GGGGAAACGATGGACTTAAACCTAGGCGACGTTCGCGATTTTCCGACTAATCTCATTTATTGAGTCCAGCCCAGTGCTCTGGCTGAGAAGACGAAGTGCAAATATCTAATTTTGGAGTTCCTACAATTTTTCTGGTTAATCGATAACGAGTTCAAGTTTGTCTCTTTGAATAGATAAGAATCTCACATACCGTGCCAACGCCATGCTCGCAGTGGAGCCAGGAGGGATAGGCCGAAGACAATTGATGTTCATTCTGCGAATTGACGAAACTCATCATAATTCTCAATAAAAATATGGTTTCTGTTACCTGTCATAGGCAGAGGGTCCCCTGTGCGGAGCCAAATCCAACTTACACCCTACAGTGAGAATTGGAATGTGACAAGACTCTATATCAGCCAATAAGGAACGAGATGCTGAGGAGCCAATGGAACGAGGCTTCCCATCTATCAATGTAAGCCACTGGGACAGATTCTGAGATAGGCTATACGTTACTTGTAAAATGAAGTTTACCTTCTCGTACCTCTTCACTTTTCTTGTTGCTCAAATCGTGCACCAAAATCACACCTGCAGCTCCATCCAGAAAGACTGCTGAAGCGGCACGATGCGCACCTGAACCTCCAATATCCCAAAGTTCCATCAGTTCGGATCGTTGCTCGGAAGTGCCTTAAGATGAAAAATTAGGAAAACATATGTAGAGGTTAAAATTAATTCTACAGACCTGCCTTGTACTCATGCCACGCCATTGATATGGAAGCACCAATTGTACTGGGGCTATCAGCACTGGGTCTTAAGCACAATATTAGCTATTTGCGAACCTGCGTAAAGAATTACTACACAAATTGCGTCATGGTAATCTCCTACATGGAGCGGCTTACACAAGATGGACCCCTAGCACAACTCTAATCATCCTGATAAGACAAAACTAATTCTCTCAAAAAACAGCAACCAACAGGTTACTTCCTATCACAATCAAAAACCCGGAAGAATAATTTTTTAAGAAAGTTATTCGGTAAAGTAAGTCTTTCCAAATACTTCAGGGCTCAACCTACCTGCGAAAAGTTCATACTTATAACAGTATAAATAATCCAGCAAAATAAGTTGAGAATGACAAATTGCGAAAAAAACTCACTTTCCACAAACAGCATTAACGAATGAAGTTTTTCCGACGCCACTCTCTCCAACTACAACTATTTTAGTCGAAGACATCACAAGATAAATTAACTAATCTATAACAAGTCATTCAACTATAGAAATTTGGAAGAAAAGAAAAGACGAACTTGAATTGATGGTCTAGCTTTCACAACTTCTAGACAGAGTGAACAAGAACAACACTCGAAGACACCGATATCAACAATTTTCTGAATCTGAAGCATATCTAATTGTATCCTCATAGGTTGTTCTGCAATAGCGATAAGATGTTTGCGCACCTCCTCTAACGAGATCTCATAGTTGTCGCCGCAACGGCAGGGCTCCACTATAGGCTCGGTGTCGTCTTCACTAATCTCTATTCTCTCAGCGATTGTGCCCTTGTTTCTACGATAATTTTGCTCACGAAGCCAGTGATCGTACTCACGTCGTTTTGCGGAATCCTGAATTGTACTATACAACCTCTATATATGAGTGATACTCACTTACTGAAGGGTTAGGGTCACTATGTCGGCTTTTTATTAGGTACTGTTGGTGAATAATAGTTTTTAAACTTCAATATACTTAACGAGAGACCTACAAGTTTTCAAAACCGTAAAAAGTCAGCGTTTATGAGAATGATCGATTTATGGAAATTCTAGATACCGCAATTTTAAAATACCCTCTAAAACCCTGATCTCTGACGATGCATAGTCCATTCCTAAGAAAAGATAACAAAAAAGGCAACGGGACAGCGCACTAGTACCTCAAAGTTGGAGCGCGTGAAAATCAGTAATCACTGCAGGCGTGAAAGATAAAAAGCGGATTTTTTGAAAGTTTTCTTCCTATTTTTCTTCACTTTCAACTTCAGCAGATTCGTCCCCTTCTCCATAAGATAGATAATGCAATCAACAGACTGGTCCTCTTCTCCATAAGATAGATAATGTAATCAAACTGATTTGGTGAATTGATGCCCTTTTTTGTGAATCTTTAAATTTCATTCAGTTTCGCTACTTTATTATGAATTTCCCTAAGAAGTGAATTCGATGGTCACTGATCAGGCACTACAGTAGCTAAGTTGAAACATGTTGGGAGGGACGCAATGGCTGGAGCAGCACTGCATGTAAAGCGAGAAATTTGAATGGCGTGTCAAGCACATACGACATGCGACGAACAAAAATAACGAAATGCTGAAGTTTGAAGATCTGCGACAAAGAACATGACATGAACTAATAAGCAAATAGACCAATCACTCGACCGAACATCTGCCGAAAGTCTTCTGTCACCTGGAAAAGCCTGAAAATAAGAGCAGAATTTTCTTCTGGAAGCAACTTTTGCGTTCTGCGCCTGCAAAAAATGGTACTGTGCCTCATATTGAAGTGCAGGCGCGATCGCCCCATAACGCGCACACGAGCGACTTTGTTTTTTTGCCATAGAAAAAAAAACGTATCTACGAAACGTTTCTGTGGCAAAAGTTATGAAGAGTTTTCACTGCCTGAAACAGCCTTACAGCCTGCCAATAATCGATGTTGAAAACCAAATCCAACCTAAAACAGGCCTGCACAAAAATTGCCCTTTAATAAAATCGTCATTACAACAAAATTTAGCCGCGCTACTGTTTTAGGTCAAAATAGCATTTTTCGGAGATTCTCTACTGATCTTGTAAATCATTCTTGAAATAAAAAAATGTTTACAACTTCTTCTACAAAACTGCTTCGCAGATACAGAACACAGATTTGGAACCAGCTTTCAAACTGCATCTGAGAGTGCGCATCATTTCCTAAATCGCCACTTTGATTAAGTATCGTTGTAAGTATAATTTAAGTAATCCGAAATATCCATCCACTTATTAGAGCGTGAAGAGACAGAGAGTTCACATTCCTTAAGGAATTCATCAATCTTCCCGATAAAGACATCGTACCGCTATGAGAGCTGAACTACTTTATCAAACATTTTCGTAATCCTGGCTGCTCCAACCATAATTGTTCATGACCGCGAATATCCTCGTACCAAATTCCGCGTATCCATTGTTTGCTGTATTTTTGAGTTGACAGCTTTTCATCATCAAACAGATAAGCTTCGCGAAGAGTTCTTAGCCCCCGCGATGGTCTACCGTCCCAATGGCGCAGGGTGACTCTAGGTGTCGAACTGCGAAGTACAGCGGAGGTTTATCCTCCAGCCAGGTCTCCCAAGCTGAGAAAAAGTTCGACGTTCCCAGCTCCTCGGATGCCCAGCTAAAACTAGGCCATGCCAGAAGCCCCACCCTCTGGCTGATTCAGTCGCTAGGTGATTCCCCAATCTATATCGGTCAGAGGTGAAAGGTTAGCAAGCCTATTAAGGCTTATAAATTTGGGGAAAGATCCTATCGTACAGCATGTAAAAGGAAGAGAAGCCCTGCACACTGGATCACATCTCCTTCGTCAGATGTCGTCAAGGCCAGTGTGTTGCACAGGACGCCATGGATTTTGGACCTAAAACACACGTCAATAACTCGCCATAGAGATTTCTCATGCACTGCACCTACAACGCCAGGACACTCTCCACCAACGCCGATCTTTACGCCCTTCTCGAAGCTGCAGGGAGCATCAACTATCACGTAATCGCCTTGCAATAAACAAAGTCCAGGAAGACGGACGTGAGACAGTGATGGTACACTCATCATTCGTGGTGAGAATGTTCCATCACAGAACGTTGGAGGCGTTGGATTTGTCGTACACCCTGTTGTCCATCTTGTCGATTCGCATGAGATCCTATACCCCGTCTGCCTATCCTTCGACCCCGTGCTCTGCGTCAGAACACCATCACTATCATCAACTGCGGAGGATGTGCAGGAGGTCCCAAAGACATGCCGCCTATTCCCGAAGGTAACAATTGGAGGTGCGAGCCATCTTGAATGGATCTAGCAACTTTTCAAATCGGCTTACGTCAGTCTGTACCGCAATCACAACAAATGAACGCTTTAG